TCCAGCGGGCTAAGTTACGGTCACCGGTCGGGAGCGCCCGGGGTCCGGGGCGGGCGGGAAGGGCGGACCCGGACACAGCCCCGACGGCGAGGTGCGGGCAAGGCCGCTGCGAAGCAGTTGGCCGCGAATAAAGGGCCGCCCGAAGGGGCGCCCGAGCGGGAGGGGGCCGGAGTGAGCTAGTTGTGTGTGTGTGTGTGTGTGTGTGTGAGAGAGAGAGAGAGAGAGAGAGAGAGAGAGAGAGAGAGAGAGAGAGAAGCGCTCGCTGGGTCAGGGGAGAAGGTAGGAGATGGCACGAGGGAGGAAAAAGGGGAGTGCGCGCTGTGCGTGCGGGAGCGCGGCCCCAGCGCGTCTGCCAGGAGAGGCGTCCGGCTGGCCCAAGTCTCCGGCTGTCCGGGGGGGACAGGGGAGGACCCGAGCCAAGCTCCTACCCCTCCCTCCCGGACTCTTCCCCTCCCAGACTCGGTATCAGCCGAGCCAATCCGGACCTTTAACTCCTTCCTCCCCGCCCCCAAGCCGTGGGCTCGCCAGCGCCCGGAGCCTGAGCGCTGTCCCCCGGACCCTCTGCCCGCTCCTCGACCCCCCAACGCCCGCCCGCCCGCCGGCTCAGAGAGGCGGCCGCGCGGAAGGACTGAACGGAGAAGCGTGTGGGGACCCCCGGGGGCCTCTGCCCTCCCCTCCACCCGGGGTCCGCCTGGGGAGGAAGGAGGCGCTGGTCCGGGATATCGGCAGGAAAAGGTGTGCGTGTGCGATGTGTGTGTCTAGGGGTGAGGGGTTTCTGGAAAAGACGTTAAAGTAGGTGAACCCCAGGGTCCTGATGACTCAGACCCTTCAAGACGCCCCTCCACCCCCGTTAAAGGGATCGGCGGAGAACAGGGGCAGGTGGGAGGGCAGAATTAGCTCTTTAGTTCCTAAAGGGTTATTAGGCCGAGGAGGGAGAGCGTGCGGGTGGTTGGAGAGGGAAGAGGGGTGACCTCCGGGCCGCTCCGGGAATGTAACTGTGTGTGTCGTGTTGAGAAGAGTTGCTAAAATGGGTTTCGTGGTGGTGGCGGCGAGAACTAGTGTTGGAAGTGACCAGCGGAGGGGAAGGTTTGGGAGTCCTTACTTGACGGCCGGGCGGCTAGACCGGACCGCTGTAGAGTCAGTCTGCCCTCTAGTGGTCAGTAGGCGTCATTGACGGTATTGGCCCACCAAGCTCTCCAACCTGGCGCCCAGGCCAGGACCCAAGGCTTGCAAACAGTTGCAGGGGACCTAGTAAGGGTTAGGCACCAGCTAGATGCTAAGGGCAAAAAGAGAAGTAGGTAGAGAGTCTGTACCTCAAGAGCTCTATTTGGGACAGACAGTCATAACGTAATATCGTTAAGCACTACAATATAGAGATGGATAAATTAAGCAGAGGTCCAGATGAAAACTATTCTGCCTGCCTTGGGACCAGGAAAAACTTCAAGGAGAAATAATTCAACAAGGGTAGAAGGATGAGAAAGGTATTCTGTGTAGAGAGAGCAGAAACTGAAGTACGTTTTCTATATAGAGAATTTTAGGAGAATTTTGAATATTTCTATGGTTAGAGCAAACAGTAGCCCAACTTAGGATGGCAGGCACATTTTGTTTGGCCTGCATTTTCTCTCTCTCTATTTAATAGCCCAAACTTAAAAAATTGGCCATCGCTGGTGTGACTCACTTGCTTCTAGGGTCTGCCCAGGCACTGAAGGGCGAGTCTCAGGTTCGATTCCTGGGTTTCAGGTTTAATCCCGGGTCAGGAGGCAACTGTTGGATGTTTCTTTTTGACATTGATGTTTCCCTCTTTCTCTCCCTCTCCCTCCCTCTTTCTCTAAAATAAATAATAAAAATCAGTAGATGGCACATGAATGTTTGGTGTTCTGACTTGTCTTGAAATATTGGAGAGCTGATAATATATGTCCTGCATCTATCCATGATCAATCAGCTGCAACCAGTATCCATGACCTCCTTGAGATGTTTAGTTCATGATGGTTCTTTTCCACCCTGTTCACTCATTGGCATTACTGGCTGCAGTAGGAGTTTATGTTTTCAACCCTGACCTGTGATGTAAGGTGTGTACATGTAGGAATGAATGAGGAGGAGAGGCAAGAAAGGGCAGCAGATGGCAACTTATGCAAGCTTTTGTGTGACAGGCTTGTCTTGGTCCCATAAGGGGAGCTACAGAGACTATAAAAGGTAGATAGGAGATTGGGAGATTTAATATTTTTATATGTTTTTATTGATTTAGAGAGAGAGAGGAAGGGAGAGAGAGAAAAACATCAATTGGTTGCTTCCCGCATGCACCCCAACCAGCTACTGAACCCACAAGCTGGGCATGTGACCTGAAACCAGCGACCTTTCAGTGCACTGGATGAAGCTCAACCAACTGAGCCACGCTAACCAGGGTGATTTTTAAAAAAAATGTTTTTATTGATTTTTAGAAAAAGAGGCAGGAAGAGGTTTAGAGAGATAGAAACATTGATGAGAGAGAAACATCATTGATTGGTTGCCTCCTGCACGCCCCCTACTGGGGATCAAGCCTGCAGTCTGGGCATGTGCCCTGACTGGGAATCAAACTGGTGACCTCTTGATTCCCAGGTTGATGCTCAACCAATTAGCCACACCAGCCCAGCAGGGTGATTTTTTTGTTTGTTTGTTTTAATGTGTCAATTTTTTATTGATATGCAGCAAGCCACTTAAAATTTCATTTTAAAAAGTTTGGCGAATGTAGAAAGTTTCCTTGATGAAATATTAGCCTCCACATACACTACCAGGCAAACTGTCGTAGAGATCACGGAACAGAAAGTTCATAGACAATATAAAATTGCTTGAAGGACATAGCTTAACATTACTTCAACTTTCTTACTAGGGAGGTTTTTAAAAAACAGTTTTGTTGAGGTATAATTGATACACCATAAACTATATATTTAATGTATACAATTAGATTAGTATGGACATATGTATATACTTGTGAAAATATTGCCACAATATTTAGGTAACGAATATATCTATCCCCTCCAAAAGTTTCCTTGTGTCTTTTTTTTTTAATCCTCACCTGAGGGTTTTTTAAAATTTTATTTTACAGACAGAGAGAAATCACTTGGTTGCCTCCCCACCAGAGATCGAACCTCCAACCTGGGTATGTGCCCTACCTGGGACTTGAACCCAAGACCCTTCAGTGCACAGGAGAACCCTCCAACCAACTGAGCCACACTGGCCAGAGCTCTTGTATCTTTTGTGTTCGTGTATGTTAAGAACACTGAGTTCTGTGTCTCCCTCCATCAGAAGGCAGACACCACACCCAGCCCAAACTTTTAAGCAAAAAAAAAAATAAGTAAAAAATTAAAAGAAAAAAAGAACACTGACATGAGATCTATCCTCTTAAAATTTTTTTTAATTCTTTTTCCTTGTTTTTTACCCTCTTAAATTTTTAATGCATAAATTTTTAAGTATAGGGAGATTTTTTGTAAGTAGAATCAATTAAACTTCAGGAAGAGAAGACAATATACAAATAACCGAAGTCTAGGTGACATTGAACCATTCTTTGAGAAGCTGAAGAAGCAGGTTTTTGGGAGATGTTAACAATTTTAGTTTGTTAGGTCTGAGGTGCCTATAGAAACCTAAATGGAAGTGCCCAATAGGTCATTGGATTAGTGGAACTGGAGTTCAGGAGAAATGACTGGGCTAGATACCTAATTTAATAATTGAGCTCCTCCATCAATAATGTTTGATTAAATAATTTGTCTAATTTCTAAGCTGAAGACAACTAAAAACGTTGGATTAAATACTTTTAAAAATCAAGCCCTGGACAGTGTGGCTCAGTAAGTTGAGAGTCGTCCCACGCACTGAAAGGTTGTCAGTTCAATTTCCAGTCAGAGTACATGCCTGGTTGCAGGAGGCTGGACCCCTGGGATGTGCAGGAGGCATCATATCCCCCCCCCCCGCTCTCTCTAGCCCCCTATTTTTCCTTTTCCCTTCTCTCAAAATCAATAAAAATATTCTTTAAAAGATCAAGAACGAGTACAAGTGTGAGGAATTATTGGTGTTAGAGCATGAAAGGGCAGAAAAACAAAGTCGAGATCAGCAGTGGGACTGCTTTTACCTTGAGGTCATTTGCTGACGGGGAACTGGTGGAAGAAAATGGGCTGTGTGGGGCAAGTGAGACAAAATTGGAATCCAAATGTCCCCAAAGGTGAGAATCCTGTTTTGGGTTAGGATCCTGGAAGGCAGCACTCTTAGGGGAAAACCTAAGAGTAGGGTAAACTAGACCCAAAATATTCAAAAACCAAAATTAAGAACCAATTGATGGGTATAACAGCAAGTTACACTACACTGAGAATCAAATAAATGATTCAAAAGAAAGAACAGAAGAAAGCCCTGGCTGAGTAGTTCAGTTGATTAGAGTGACTTCCCAGTATGCCAAGATATGCCCAGGTTGTGGCAGGTTGCAGGCTCCATCCTGGTCAGGGCACATACAAAGACGAAATCAGCCATGAGTGGAACAACAAATCTATGTTTTTTTCTCTCTCATAATGACAATAAAAGGGATGAAAAACCTAAGAGAAGGTTAGAGACATAGAGGATACTGTGAGAAAGTCTGACACACCTTTATGTGGAGCCCAGACAGAGGGAAATAATAGGATAGAAACAATATGTGAAGAGATTATGGCTGAGAATCTTAAAAAGTAGATGAAATACATTAAGCCACAAATTCCAAGTGCAACAAACCTCAAATAGGATTTTAAAAATCCATATCTAAACCCATCAGAATGAAACTGCAGGAAATTAAATAAAAAATAAAATCTTTAAAACATAAAAAAGTGGAAATAAAATAAAATATAAAAAAGAGTATTAATTGCCTTCAAAAGAAAAAACATTAGATTGACAACTTTTTTTTTTACAGTAAAAAGGGAAGCCATAGGAAGAAGGAGGGAACTTCACGTGAGGCTTAAGCTCAGGAGTTGCTGTAGTAACCAATCTAAGGGAACAGTGGCCAATCAGAGGGGGTATCAAGGCACAAAGATCTGCAACCTTTATAAACTGTAGGGAAAAGGGACTCAGTGGGACTCTTTCCCTCTCCCCACGTGGGAGTCTGTACTTGTTCTTCAATAAATTCCCACCTTTACTGTAAGAAAAAAAAGGGGGGAAGCCATAGACAGTAAAATAACATTGTAAATGTGCTGAAAGAAAATAACTCCCAACTAGGAAGCCATACCCAGAAAAAAATGTCCTTCGAAAACACATGTGAAATAAAGATGTATTCATACAAACCAAAACCAAGAAAGCGACCAGCAGAGGGACGCTAATTCTCAAGCAGGAGGAATGTTATTCCAGGTGAGTGATTGGAGTTGCAGGAAGCAATCAAGAGCGCAGCACCTGGCTGGGTGCATGAATGGGTGGAACAATAAATCTCTCTCTTTCTCATCAATAAAAAATTAAAAAATTGTAAATTTAGTCAACAATAAAAATAAAGTTTAAAAAATGGTAAATCTAAATGACCACTAATTTAATTAATAAACATGAATGTCTTGTGGGACTGAAAATATATAGATAATTAAATTGTGTGAACATATATACCTACACCTACCCAAGAGAAGTGAATGCATCTGACTACAAGAATTTTGCAAAAAAAAAAAAAAAAATGTCCATAGCAGTTTTATTTATAATGGCAACCCAAATGTGTTTGTCTGTGACTCAGTTGGTTAGAGCTCCTGAATTCATCAAAAGGAGAAAGGACAGATATACACTCCTATGTGGCTCAGTGGTTGAGCATCAACCCATTCACCAAGAGGTCACCTGTGTGTCCAGTCAGGGCATGTGCCCAGGTTGTGGGCTTGATCTACAGTGGGGGGCCTGTAGGAGGCGGTTGATCAGTGTTTCTATTTCTCTATCCCACTCCCTTCCTCTCTCTCTATAATCAATAAAAATATATTTTAAAAAAGGAGAAAGGACAAACTGTGGTATAATTATTCAATGGAATGCTACTCAAATAAAAAGGGACAAATTACTGATAAATGCAAAAACTGGAGCTGGGACAAAAAAAGAGTACATACAGCGCGAGTCCATTTATTTGAAGTTCAAGAACAGACAAAACTAATCTATGATCACAGAAATCAGAAGAGAGATTGCCTCTAGTGGCAGGGCAAAGGGGTATGAGCAAACTGAGGTGATAAAAACATCACCTCAGTTGGTTCTATAGACGGAATATATTACTCAAAAATAATCGAGCTGTGGGCTTAAGATCTGTGCATTTGTTGTACTAAATCACATATCAATAAAGTATTTAAAAGAATTACGACAACAGCAATAGCATATAATTCTGGAGGGAGTGATGATTAATTATTCCTGCATTTTTTACGAGAAAAGTAAAAAAGTATTACATAAGTCAAGGATGCATGTTGTAATTTTTAGGGTAGCCAATATAACAGAAGAAGAGTAACTTTCAATGAACAAAGGCGGGGAGGGAATAATAAACAGTAATCAATACAAAAGGAGGCAAGCAGGGGAGAAAATGTATTACAGGAGGGGCAAAGCACGTAGTAATCTGATTGATTTAAACGCAAATACAGCATATCGGTATCTGTAACTGGTGAAACCTCGCGTAAGGGTAAAATCCGCCAGTTTGTGGAGTGAGGAAAGAAAAGAAGTGCGGGGAAACTGCCACGGGGATGGGCCGGGTCCTTCTCTCCTTGCTTCTTCCCTTGCTCGCTTTCTCTGAAATCTCTTTCCGAAGCAGCCTCAGTTTCCCTTCTAGTCCCTCACCATCAGTGCTTTCCCCCCTCTGATTCAATCCACACACGCCTCCTTTTCTCAGAGCCGCTTCTTCTGAGTAGTGTCCATTGCTGCTTAATGTCCCTTCCTATTCTCTCATTTCACTTGCTAAAAAGATTGCACTTTTTGAGGGAGGAAAAAGTAGAAGGATGGCGTTTACTTTTACTGAAAATAAAATTCTTAAAATTCTCTTTTATTCTAATGAAGGGGGAAAAAAAAAAGAAAAAAGTCCTGCTAGCAGAGGATGGTTTCGATCCATCGACCTCTGGGTTATGGGCCCAGCACGCTTCCGCTGCGCCACTCTGCTGCCG